TAAACCCTAAACCCCGAATCCTAGAAAAAGCCTGTCTGACTCCTCTGACTCTTCCCGGTGAAGGCAGGAAGTGCGTGAACTCTTGGCATCCGAGGGGATGAGGCGCGGGTTTAGGGTTTAGGGTTTCAGCGACCCTAAACCCTAAACCCTAAACCCTGAACCCTAAACCCTAAACCCTAAACCCTAAACCCTAAACCCTAAACCCTAAACCCTATGCCGTTAAGGGTATTTGGATTTGGGGGGTCTGAGGGCTTTGGGATGGAGGAGTTCAGGGTTTGGAAACTTCGGGGGTCGAGTTTAGGATTCGAGTTTCGGGATTTGGGAATGGTTTTAGGGTGTAGGATTTGGTCGTCATCCTAAGTCGGAGCCCCGAGGGTTTACAACTTTGGGGCTTCTGCAGTAGAGGGTTGCTGTAGCTGTTAAGATTCGGCTGTCGCGTTGAAGAGTTGTAGTTCCATAGAAGCCTGAACAATGACTGTAGGGGGCCTAAATAATAATTACCAACACTATTTTGGTGGCTCCTTGTTATAAGTATAGTAGAATATACCTCAAAACCCTATTCTGATTATCAGGGACCCTGATGTTCATTATGATACAATGCATAGAAACATTCCTTCGAGGCTCATGGTTGGTTGTTGGGCTTAGGCCTCGGTTAGGACCCCTTATGCCCACGGCTAAGTAGACGGATCGTTGAAGCTTCAAGGCCTTTCGCTAAATTTCGAAAGCCTAAGCTCCCTTGGCACAGGCCGTGGCTGTCTTTGGAGCAGCTGGGTTCCCAGAATGCCCTCAGCACGACGTACACCCGGAGCCCCAAATCAGAGCCCTGAGCATCGACCGCTACACCTTGAGCCCAAATCCTCAGACCCTGAGAAACACCCTCAACCCTAAACCCTGTTTGGAGGATCCTGAGACTTAGTAAGTAAGGTTATAACTACCTTAATTGGGGCTATAAGTACATATAAGTCTAGTTACCTTATTTTTAACCCCAGTTACTAAGTCCCATGATCCTCTAAGTAAACCCCTAAGCCGCCGCTGAAGCCCTGTTGCTCCAAAAGGTTCGAGGGTTGTCAAGGGCAAAGGGCTTCGGATGTTTGGGAGTCTTGGGTTCAGGGTGGTGGGTTTAGGGTTTAGGGTTTAGGGTTTAGGGTTTAGGGTTTAGGGTTTAGGGAGGGGTGACGGTCTGGGACCTGAGGTTCGTTGCTGAAGACGCTTAAGTTTAGGTTTTAGGGTGTTGGGTTCAAAGTTTGGGGGCATGGGTTTTCAATTCTACCCAAAGTTCCTGGCATTAGGGGTTATGGGCCCTTGAAGTACCGAAACGAAAGCAAACCCTGAAAGAACCGAATACACACCTGCTAAACGCAACCCTTTCGAGGATTCCTTCTATCGGACACTAAGTATAGAATTGAAAAGGTTATCCTAAACCCGAATCATACCCTAAAGCCCAAAACGCCAAAACCACCCAAACCCCAGAAGCTCCCAACCAAATCCAAACAGCCCGAAGCCCAAAACTCTAAACCTTAGACCCTAAACCCTAAATCCCAAACCCTAAACCCCAAACCCTAAACCCTAAACCCTAAACCCTAGACCCTAAACCCTAAACCCCTAGACCCTAAACCCTAAATCCCAAACCTTTGGGAGGATTCTTCTTCTCACTTTTATACCCTAAACCCTAAACCCTAGACCCTAAACCCTAAATCCCAAACCTTCGCGAGGATTCTTTTTCTCACTTTTATTGGGGTAGCTTTGAGGTATCATCCTGTTGGCCGCCTGGACCGCGACACAACAGGCCAGGGCTTTCCATACAGACATATGTATGTCCATAGGGTTTGGGGGTTTAGGGTTCAGGGTTTAGGGGTTAAGGGGTTCAGGGTTTAGGGGTTTAGGGGGTTTAGGGTCTAGGGTTTAGGGTGTAGAGAGAGAGAAACAGACGGACAGACGGACAGATGGACAGACGGACGGACAGGTAGGTAGATACATAGACGGATAGAGATAGATAAATAGAGATATTCACACATACATATGTATATACAAATAGAGAGATATAGACATGCCAATACATAGATAAAGAAATACACATAGACATAGATACCAAGGGTAGATATAGGTATTAGATAACCGGTTTAGATTTATCATACACAAATGTATAGGTATAGACGCATAGATGTATATATGTAAAAAGGTATAAATGTAGAAATGTATAGATGTACAGATATAGTTCTACAGACATGTTGGTACAGGTACAGATACAGATGCAAATATGTAGGCATAAGTATAGATATAGGTATGAGTACAGATATAAATGCGGATAGAGATAGAGATATGGGTCTGGGTTTTTTTGAGGTTTGGGGTTTAGCCTTGTTAGCAGGACCCAGGGTTAGATGGTAGACTACAAGGGTTTTTGCAGGTTCAATAGCACTGAATTAAGGGATCCTCGAGAAGGGTCCCTGTTAGGAGAAGAACCCAAAGCCTACACGCCTAAAACGTGTAAACCCTAAACCCTAAAGGAACATTCCTTGATTCAGGCAGTTGGATCCCGAGGAGGAGGAGGAGGATAGGAGGAGGAGGAGGAGGAG